ACCAATCGACAGCTGGTCAAAATGAATCCACACACACTTTCACTCGAAATGGAAGCAAGCTCAACAATTATGAAACAAGAGCTTCCTCGAAACCCAACCTTTCTTCGCATATATTTACTATTGTTGTAGTTGCACACTTTTGATATTCAGACAACTGATTTGGAAGGAACTAAATTAGTGAATATTCATGCAATGCTGAGCGATGTACACGATTCTACAGCAACACATTTTGGAAAGCAAATTTACCATACAAAAACCTACACATTGACGAGACTGAGAGTATTCTGATGAGTGAAAAGACAATATAAAGCCAGGCAAAACCCCAAAATGCATGCGCTTGTGCCTAGATGACACATGTGTGTCTGTGCTTAGTGCAGTAACCAGAGCATACTTTAAGTCTCGAAAAATCGAAAGGCTTTTTTAAGCATACCAACCATTCTAGGCAAGACGCCTTCTGAGCTCCCATATTGGCTGCTCAAATAGCTCTAAGGGGAGTACATTGACAATAAAAAAGAGTAGATAAATAAAAATCACAAGGATAAAAAAGTTGTTATAAAACTGTGAAGAAATACAGATTTTTTCGACGTTCTACATGCTTAATTGAACTAAATCTTGATTCTCGCATACCAAATACAGTTCGAATCCTGCCACCATCACACCTTGTTTTCATCAACACCCTAGTTTTAAGTCTTATTGGTAGGAAGACGTGGTGCACTCCCAAACTTTGGAAATGATCATGCAGACAATGGACTCCGGACTAGGTGCGTTCCTCTAAGTCTTCCTTTCAATATGACCAAGTTGCGAAAACAACGTTGAGATCACACAAAAGACCCCACCATCTTGGTCTTCATACCCTAGTTTTAAGTTAGAATAGTAGAAATACACTGGCATCGCTATCTTAGTGATTTGGTTGACTACTTCAACCTTCCTCGACATGTTTGCGAATGAATGAAGTTAACTTCCTGAACTGGAAATGCGTTCGCTGGCAGCTGTTTGATCACAGACAAGAACTAGCGTACGATCGCCAAATGCAGAATCATGTTTGGGTTTGTGCGGTTGTCTATTGTGTGTATGTAATGCTCATGCCATGAGTAGTATGATAGTCATAGTTAGACACGAGGCTAATTCACTCTCCTTCTCTTGCTCATAAGCTTTTTCTACTCTCCCTTTCCTTAAGCCCATACAACAATCACAAATAGTTCCTATTTAGTTTTCTACACTCGTTCCTCCTACTAAGGACGTTGACTGCTTTGTTAATTTCTATAGGCTCCATAATCTTAAGCTTTGACGTGAATTCCCCGTAACCCACAAAACGTTGTGACTTGGACCAGTCTATTGAGTGTCCTGTATTCATCATGTGTTCAGCGAGCCCAGATCTTTGGACATTCATACCTATACAAGCGGTTTTGTGAAAGTATAGCCTCTTGTGAATGGGTTGGCAGGTCTCCCCAACATATACATTATCACATTCACTTTTTGAAATTTTGCTCTACCCGTAGAATTATACCTAGCTTTTGTATATTTCTAGACCTAATTTACCTTGTAAGACTAAGTTTGATCTTATGGACGTCTGCCGTGATTTAGCTGCTATTAGACTTAAAGAAAACAATGCAAAGTTACATTCCTTGATCAGATCTAAGACTAGACTTAGGTAAATTTTGGCCAATGCTCTTAGTTCACAAGACTTCATGAAACTCCAGAGTATAGCGGATAGTTTAGGTTTTCTGACAGGTTAAGAAAACACATGATAAGAAATTAAGAAATTCGGGTATAAGAATTAGCTCAAGGAAACGACCCACACTTAATAAGTTGAAGTGTAAGAATAGCAAATGCCAAAAAGTGGTAAATCTGTCCAAAACTTCGTTGGACATTTCTACTGAGGAGGTCCTAACAAAGGGCCTAAACTTTGCCTTTCCAAATGGTAAGGACTTTAAAGAGGAAATCTTGGTAGAATCGATAAGTCTAACGGATAGTTTCCCAGAGGTTACTAGAAGTGACATTGAACTACAAGTTGTCCCTTTAATTAATGGTCATGTAAAAATACCATATAAGAACAGGACAGGTAAGACGAGCAACTAGTATTACGGGCATACAAAGGGAGAACAGTAGTAGCTATGACTAAGACTGATTATGTACAGAAAGTGTTAGAGGCATTAGATGATAATACAACATATAAGACTACACTTATAGACACGACAGAAAGCCTTAAGATCAGATTTAAGGGTCTTCTGTAACAATGTATAAAGAGTGGTGAACTGAAAAAGTGGAAAATGAATGCACGCTTCAGCGAGATGCTAGACCCCCAAATGCGTATGTTCTGCCCAAAATCCATGAGCAAGGTACTCCCCTTAGGATTATTGTAAACAATACAGATAGCGTGATGCATAAAGCATCACGATTTATATGTATTCATTTAAAGCAAATCTCCGAAACTTGAAAGTTTTCATAACTTTATTAATTTAATTGATGCTCGGACTATAGAATGATGAGACATGCTGGTAAGTCTCGATGTGGCGTCTATGTACACTAACATTCCGATAAACGAGGAAATGAAGGCGTTAGAACTAACTCTATATTAACACCCTTAAATTATAACAGGGATAAAGTTAAGCAAAGATTCAATCACTAGGTTAGTCAATTTGCCAATGTATATTACATATTTTACCTTTAATGGTGAGTTTTATGAGCAGACACGGGGTTTGGGATCTTGCTTAGCCCCTATTTTAGCTAATAAATGCATGACTCAATTATAAGTTTGCGTGTTTCAAGAGACGATTACTTTGCTGTTCGGCAACAATAGTTTGGGGGAATTCCTCGAGCTAATGAATAGAATAGATACA